TTTTAACAGACCGAACTCCTTTTAACAAGCCTGCAACACTTACGCTTTCAGCTCAGGTTCACTGTCCAGGTCTTGGTCCTGTGTGACAGTGGTGACTGGTACTCCCTCCTCCTCGTCACTGGTCAGAGTGATATCTTTGCTGGGGGGCAGGGTCTTAGATTGGGGAAGGCTGGGTTCAGTGTCATCCGGATCGAGCTCGTCCTGGAAACCAGACACCATGGGGTTCCCTCTGCCTTCACCATCACTGGGACAGAGAAAAGACAGGAACCTCTTTACCTTTACTCATGGAGAGAGGGTTGGTCTACTATTGTGGGCTACTGTGCTGCTCTAAACCAGGACCTGTCACATCTAATGTACATATGCAGACTTCTTGCACAGTATTCTGTTACATATAAGTTGCATATTATGTCAGATAAAAACAGTTAAAGTTTTAACAAATAAAGCATTGTTTTTCATCCACATCAAGGCTAATTTCAATGCAAAAAAGATACAAATAAAGATATCAACAAATACTTGCTTCGACCCAAAGGATTAACAAGCTAACTGAAAAGGATTCTTAAAATATCTCACCTGTCACTGTCTACAGCCGGAGCTGGTGCAGGCTGAGGCACCTTGGTCTTGGAGGGCAGGCTGTCCTCCAGGAAGCTTTTATCCAGTCTCTCATCTGGCACAAAATCATCTACGCTCTGAACCTTAGCAGGACACACTGGTGCAGGCGGGTCCTCTGAGGAAAACATAGTGTGTGTGACTAACTACTAAACAAGTTCACTTTATTAAAATCTACAGTTTAATGTTAGAAATCTCCCATCACAGCTCTGCCGTGTGTTGCCTTGTTATTTACACAAGAACTTCAATGAAACAGTGAAATCACATGACATTCCAATACCAGCCAGTCCTTTGATCGCCTGAAAAGCTCTGCATTTCTCAACTGCTAAGTGTCTTGTGACTACTACTAACAAACATCATTCATTTAGACCTTCAAACATGATTTCCTAAAGGTCCAGTGTGTAACATTTGGGAGGATGTGTTGCTAGAAATGGAATATTCAGGGTTCCCACTCTTTTTAACAAATCATTTTCCTTAGTTTTTCTTGACAATAAGGACAGCACTTACAAACATTCATATAAGCTGCAGTTTCGGGGAAATTGACTACATTAAGCAACCAGAAATTAGATCATTAACAGGCAGTATACATGTAGATATGAGAAGGTCCACTATAGCGAGTACACAAAACAAACAGATGACAGATTCTTGCTGTTACATCAATGGTGCACACAACTGCAGAGCAGAGGGAATGTGGACTGGCGGGAGGCTTTTACTGCATGAGTAATCTGTAGAATCCTACCTGGTCCAGGAGCAGGAGCATCAGTAGCAGATGTTGAACCAAACAAACGGGAGATGAAGCTGCGTTTCTGAGAGGGAGGCGCCCCAGAAACAGCTGTAGGCTGAAGGTGTTCGGGCGACTGGGCCGATGGCTTTGACTCAACTGTAGGTGAAGCTGTCACGCTGACTGCCGTCGAGGGGGGTGGAGGAGCACAGGCAGAAACAGATGGGGATTGTGGAAGTGCCTGGGAGGGAATGGGGGGCTGAGGGGTGCTGGGGCTGGAGCTGCCTGTGGAGGCCCCACTGGGAGGGACGATGGGGGACTGAGAGCCTGAGGAGGGACTCTGACCGTTGGCTGGACCAGGAGAGCCATAGCCCTTACTGCGAGACTCCAAGTTCTCCAGGAAACTGCAGAAATCACAACAGGGCTGCTCAATAAAATGTAGAATGATGACTGAGGCTAGGAGTATAAGGTCATCATAATGAATTGCTGTGACATCGCCCTGTGCTGGAAGCTAGTTTATCAGCAGAAGAACAAAAAAACACCTGCAGATTAGTCATATTCTGGGCTACAGAGAAATACAGAACAAAACAACTTCATAAGTCTATTTGTCAAGAAGAACATACAAGGAATGTAATAAACCTAGATCGGTGTTGTTTTTGTTAGTTAAAATTTTCGCACATTCAGCATTGACTGGCCAGACAAATGCGTATTGGTACTTCTTGTAACCAATGTAACTCTATCCACTACCAACTTTACATGTTTGTGTGCTGAAATTAAGAATAAAAACTGAATGAAATGTACCCAAATGGCACGACAATTCATAATTGACCCTTCCTAAGTCCCACCCCTTTTCACTCTGTGCTACAATAACAGTTAAGCAAGCCTCGGCCAGTACCTTGGTTGACTTTCTCCTTTCCTGTTCTTCTGCTAGAATGGTAGTGTGGTATGTGCTAGGATATGCTATGTGCTAGGATATGCTATGTGCTAGGCTCTCTATTTTGAAAAGACAGCCACATTTTGAAGATGGTTCAAATATAAAAGCAAAATATGTATCACATCTATATACATCTTAAGTTAGCAAACCATTAGCTAACCAGCTGAAGCTGAAAGCCATCATGGACATGGACAGCCCCTCTCATCCTCTCTACACTGAGCTGAGGCAGCTCAGGAGCACTTTCAGCCACAAACTGATCCAGCCCCGAGACTCAAAGCACTTTGGAGGCTCGTTTGTACCATCAGCCATCAGAGAGGAGGGAGATACAAGCACTGTCTTTCCTCGGTTGTCATGGGGAATGTACGCTTACTGACAAACAAGATGGACGAGCTCTTGAATGGGAATATATCAGACTGTTCAGTGGAACTAGCCGGCTTTTCGCTAGTTCGGACAGATAGGAAGAAAGACAGGGGTAAGAAGTTGTAAGGATGGCTTGCTGTCTTTGTTAACTCCAAATGGTGTAACCCAGGACCTGTTGTCACGAAGGCAGAAATCTGCACACCTGATATTGAACTGCTGGCCATCGGGTTATGGCCATACTATCCAATATCATCCAACTGCAGCCNNAATAGTGCATACAAAGAACAGTAATACGATTAGCCACTGGTAATTTCTACATGCATATTTTTTCATCAGTCGTCACTGATTGGATTTAATTTTCAGTGAACTTTTATTTATTTGTCTTGTTTCTTAATTTATCAGATTGTATTTGCAGTCAATATCATCAAACTGCAGCCACAAATGGTTCCCGTTTTCGCTGACTGGAACGCCCCCTTCTTCTTCGCCTCTTCTTCGTTGTAACTGTCAACATCCGGTTTAATATAACATTCGCTAGTTAGTGTTTCTCAACAGAAGTTTCAAAATAAGATCTAGTAGTCTGTAAATGTATTATAGAACTAACGTTAGCAAGCTAAGCCATCTACAGAACGTTAGTCCAATTACATCTTAATATGCTTACATTTACGTGTAGGACTAGTCTATATTTCTACGAGTTGTTGAGGACAATTCATACTTTGCACATGACGTCACAACTACTGGCTGGCGGCAAGAACATCGTTCTCCAGCAACGAAACCCAGTAAACTAATCAAGGATCTTGCCAGGAACACAGCAAGACATGGAATTCTACAACGCAAATTGCAACTGCTTGTTAGTGTGCGTAATTCTTTGGGGTGACACAGCAAGTGCAGCGCGCTGGTTTGCGCCGCTTACTGATATGAATCGCCCAGGGAAAACAGACCTACGTCGC